TGAAATACTCAAACAAGGACAATATGAAGGGACAATATGACTGGAGGAGATGAAACAAGGAGGGTGTGGCCGATTCCATCATCAACAAATCCATTGGAAGAGGAGACTACGGGGAGATGAAGTGTAGTGGACTACATTCCAGTGTCTGCAATGAAATATAGACATGTGTAATACATAATTGTGTCATATTCTTAGGTATTAATTTTTGTAGAATGATGTTTGATGTTATTGAATACATGTGAGGATCTTAGATGTTTTTGTTTATTTCGTGAATGATTAGGGACAGGGAATTTAGGCAGGGAGAGGTTCACTGTAGGGTCCAATGGGTTGACCAGCCTTACAAGTGGATGTTTTTGGATAGGATTTTGTTTGCAGGGGCTTACATGTGTATTTAATTGCATCATAGTTTCAAATGCATTTACATGGGTTATGAGTTTATCTGGAGTACCGAAGGTGGTTGCCTGGGGCAGAGGGACCGTGAGAGAATTTTACTGTCTTGATTGATGGATGGAAGGTTGCCGGACAGTTTTTCGCTCTTACACTCCATAAAGATTTGTTCATATTTCATAGTAATGTATTCACACTTCATAAACAGTTATTCATATTTCATAGAAAGGTATATACACTCTAGAGGAGAATGGTTTTTGGTTTAATGTTAAAGATACTCAATAAGATAAATTGTTACTGGTCATAATCCTATTCTGTTTGTTTTCGAGACTGTTCGTCTCGAAGGGGGGAATGTCGTATATGAAGATTATGTCTTTGTTAAATGTTTTTCATGAAGAAATGGAATGTTGTTTATGTTAGTATCAAAAGGGAATGTTTTAGTGTAACGCCACATACAACAGACAGGAAGTGTGTTGTAGACAGGGGAGACTGGTGATTGGCCAGAAGAGGGAGCCCATCTTTTTGCATTGTTTATAAATAGGGGTAAACGAAGAAGAGAGGCAGAGCAGCCATTCTGAGGCGTCGCTCTCCGGGTGTCATGTCACCTGTCACTTATGCTGAAGCTTGTGATCTGAATAAACTTATGATCAAGGATTCAGTATGAGCGGACTCCTTTGTTTATCAGCAATAATTGCCACCACTCACTCGATACGACAAAATTCATTAAAAATCCTACAATGTGATTTTCTGGAATTTATTTTCTCATTTTGTCTGTCATAGTTGACGTGTACCTATGATGAAAATTACAGGCCTCTCTCATCTTTTTAAGTGGGAGAACTTGCACAATTGGTGGCTGACTAAATACTTTTTCCCCCCACTGTATCTGCCCTCTCATTGGCTAGAATGGTCCCGCTGCATGAGATGTGTCCCGCTGCATGAGACAAATCTGTGACCATCAGATGCATATCTGTTTTCCTAGTCATGTGAAATCCATAGATTAGGGCCTAATTAATGTATTTTAATTGACTGATTTCCTTATATGAAGAAATTGTTGCATGTTGCGTTTATATTTTTGTTCAGTGTATTTAGAGTTTAGCTATCTAGTTAATGTGTTTTGAGTTTCCATGATCGCATGGAACTCCCATCTCCAATAACTCAAGCAAACAGCAAAATTACTTTTAAAAAACGGATTAAACAACATCTCATGGAACGGCAGGGACTGTGAGGGGACACACACAAACACACAGACATACACTAACACACACATTATCTTTTTTGTATTGTTTGTATATCATTGTATTTTACATTTGTGTGACTGTCCTTGTCTATTAGTGTATCAGCGTTTTTAACTTGTCGTGTTTTTTGTGGACCCCAGGAAGAGTAGCTACTGCTTCTGCAAAAGCTAATGGGGATCCAAATAAACAAATTCCTCAGGTGTTGAGCCCCAAATTAAATAGACTATGATATTAGTTAGTGCACATAAAGATGTATGTAATTCATCTTTATTGAACAGTTGGCGGATGAGTTGGAGGCACGCACAGTGATGTGGGTGTAACAGTATTGCTTCCGTCCCTCTCCTCGCCCCAACCTGGGCTTAAACCACGGACCCTCTGCACACATCGACAACAGTCACCCTCGAAGCATCGTTGCCTATCGCTACACAAAAGCCGCAGCCCTTGCTGGGTAAGGGAAACAGCTACTTCCAAAAGGCGTCAGCGTCGGTCCAGTCCTCGGGGGCCGGAGTGATGTCACACTTTTTCCCCCATCCCTAGTCAACACAGCTGATGAAACTAATTGCATTCTAAACTGAAGATCATGATTAGTTCATTATTGGAGTCAGATGTGTTAGCTAGCTAGGGCTGGGGCAAAAGTGTGACACCAATCAGGCCCCAAAGGACTAGAGTTGCCCATCCCTGGCCTAACGTGTCACCTGAAATTTAATTTTAGGAATGCCCATCTATGTGGTAGGCCTACCGTTTGTAAAACACCAACAACAAAAAAGAAGTCCAGACAGGACCAAAAAAAGACGTCCAAAAGACGTCGGCCTGTGCTTACTGGGGTGTAGCCAACCATGTCGGCCAGCAATGGAATTGTATGAATGCCCATCCTTGGGGTAGGCCCACTGTTTGTAAAACAGGCCATTGCATTGGCTTTATTTGTCCTGATTCCTGTGACTAATCAATTTGGCTATTTAAGCTCTGAATATCAGCTACCCAACTTTATCAGGAGGAGTTATCCTGAGCCTATTTGCAATGTGCTTACACAGCGGAAATGCAGAAGTATTTTCTTTTTTGCTATGATCAGCTCGTAAAAGATTTACTGATAAAAACTTGACACCACTGATCATGACAATTTAGCCCACAGGATGAAACTCCTGGACAGCAGTTGTGAGTAGCCTGATTGTCCATTTTATTTTGACCTGTCCTGTTTTTAGGATATGTTGTTTGTTGTCAGCAAATTTTTTATTTGATTGGGCGCCATTTAGGTTAGAATATTTGATTGGAGAAACCTGCATGATGTAAAAAGTGTCTGTCTCATTACATTGTCATACATTTTATCACCAGCCTGTAGGCTACAGAAAAGGCCACAAACTATTTCTACCATATGCTATATCTGCTACATGATTTATATTAGATTATTTTTTTGACTGAATTTTGGTGGAGTGCCTCAGCGATGTCTCTCCAACAGCACCCTGGAGAGGCGCGCTGGGAATGGACAAGATAAATATTTTGTGTCCCTGCCTTTGACAAAGTGGGCACTGCTTATCATAGGGCAGCATCAGCACTCACCTAAAAAGCCCATATGCCACACTGGTTTAGAGAAATTGTCATTGTTTTTGGGCAGAATTATGTGAGGTTTTGTTGTTGTTGGAGGTGTGTCTTGGTCAGTGTAGTTCCAGAAAATGCCACCCTAATGAGTGGGCCTGCCCTGGTGACCAGGGGATTCTCTCTACCACATGCCAATGCCTCCATGGAACTCATAAGTGTAGCCTATTTTGGCAGTTCACAACATCCGCCGTACAGATGTGGAATGTGAGTGGAGGAAGCCAGCCGTGCCCAACAAGGTGCAGTCAGTGGAGGACCTTGCTAGGTTACTTGCTACTTGTCAGTAAGAGTTTGCATGGAGAAATGTGGAGGTCTTTCCCACCCTGCGCCTTGAGTGATTATGTCAAAGCTTGAGACAGGATGTGTAGTTCTGTATGATAGCCATATTAGCAGCTAATTAGCATTTCATTTTTGGGCGAATATACAGGCAAATATATTGATAAAAGTTACCTTGTCCGAGAGAGATTTGCACAGTTATCAAAATGTCACGTCAAGGTAAGCCTACACGTAACACATACCTTATATGAAGTAGTTATAAAATCCCCTACGGAAATATGAATGATAGACAAACAATTGGAACCATTTCTGGGTTTTACCTCTAGGTTTAATGCTGGTCAGGGGGAGCAGGCGCTCCACGTTAAAAAAATGGGGACAAGAGATGTGAATTGTTTTGCTCTCAAGAAAAGGGTGCCATTGAAAGGAGTGATTACTGGGGTAGCGGTAAATGTGAAAGTTGACCAACTGAAGGGGAAGATTCCTGGTGTTTGTGATGCTCATTGTTTGGTGAGACGCACAGGCTGGCGTGAGTGGTGAAACAGAAGAGTCGTTGTCTTTTCTTTTAAGTTTTGATGTTGAGTCTTTGCCTGATGAAGTGATGTTAGGATATATAAGTTATCCCGTACGAGCTTTTGTGCTGATTACATTACATTGTTACAGGTGTCAAGCTTATGGGCATGTGGTAGCAGTGTGTAGGAGGGGGGTTCCTAGGTGTGAGAAGTGTGCAGAAGGGCATGAGACAAAGGAATGTGTAGCATTGGGGAAAGTAGTGGTATGTGTTAATTGTAGGGGTGCCCATGGGGCTGGGGATCAGAAATGCCTGGTGCGAGAGAGGCAGGTTGAGGTTTCCAGGGTTAGAGTAGTGCAGAAGTTGTTATATGCTGAGGCAGTGAAGAAAGTAGAAGAAGGGGGAGGGATCCTGAGAGGAGTGGTATGAGTACTAGATCTCTACCAATACAGAGGGATAGGCCAACAAGTGATATATGCTTCAGTAAGATTGGATTTTTAGCGTTTATAGCAATGGTTATCGACTGTACTGCAGGGATGGAATGTAAGTTGCAGACAATTTAGATTGTGGTGGCAGCTGCATTTGGGTGTAGGAGACTTGACTAAAGAAGAGTTACAGGGTGTGTTGAGTGGTGGTGTCCTGTCCTTTCAGGCTGTTGGCCTGAGGTAGGACTAGATAGATTTAAATAGTGGAGTAGGGTGGTGGGTTTTAGTGAGTGTAGGGTTAGATGGTAGGGCATTTGTTGATTAAATATTATTATTTTCTTTTTTTTAAGCAAAGTATAAGGGAGTTATACTCCAGTCTAGTAGATGGCGGTAATGCAACATTAATTTGATGTCAACCGCCGTTAAACGTCATCGAAGAAGAACCCAATGGCAGCTAACGTCCCGCCCACCCGAAGTGCCTCGCTGCGCTAAGGTCATTTTCATTCGGTAACTACTCCGCATCAGCAGAGTGAGGTGAAGATCGGAACACAGTAAAGCTGGTGCAAGTAAAACATCAAAATGTCGCTGTCAAATAAACTCACCCTGGACAAGGTGGACGTAAAGGGGAAGCGCGTGATCATGAGGTGAGTTCCAGTTATGTCACTTCGAAGAGCCAGCGGAAAGGGGATTATACCATCGCAAGCAACCATCTTTGCCACGGTGATTCGTAACAAGATTGCTACGGAGTTGCCTGACAATTTACTTATCAAAATTTAAATCTCAATGAAAACGTCATTTTCACCAGTAAATGTGTGCTTGTTTTCTTTGGCAACCGTGGTATAAGCGGGATAAACGCCTCTGCACCTTATTTTTTATTTTATTCAACCTTTATTTAACTAGGCAAGTGAGTTAAGAACAAATTCTTATTTACAATGACGGCCTACACAATTATTGTCTAGGCTGTAAACTGCAGTGATGCAGGCTAATTTGAATAACCGCTCAAACGTCATGTTTTTCATGCCGAAATAAAGCCCTGATTATACAACCATTTGGATCAGTTATGGGTTTATTCTCCGTCAGTTTACAAGGTCCAGAAAATTACATTAGGCCACTCATATGGTATATTTTGTCAGGATGTATTGGCGTTTCTATGGTAGGCCTATGAAACTGAGATGTGCTGTCTGTCATGGATCATGTAGCCTATCCCAAGACATCATTAACGTGGCCACCAGCATAGGCCTAAAAATCACTAATGCCATTATATTAAGCCAGGATTGGCCGAAGGACTGACATTAATATAATTAGTTTGTGGGGTTCTAAAAACAAATATGTAGTAAAATCTCATTCATTTACAGCATAGATTCTCTAAGGTCCTTCTCCATCTAATAGCCTAATGGGCCGAATTGTAGCTTGCAAATGACCTAGCAAATTCGAAGTGAAATTATTACATTCATTCGTTTTTTTAATTCTTCCATCACCTGCCGAATTAAAAACCTCATATGGCCCTACTTCTGAAAAAGGTAATCGGGACAGATATGCTGAAGTGGACTCGGCCCGAGTACCTTTAGCCGGAACCCAGAGTAATGTTATTCTGCCGGACTCGGGAAGAGCTCGGCCCATATAAAGTCCCCCGAGTCTCAAATGGAATAGGGTTGAACTCACCGTGTTGACTGGGAGCGCACTAAACAATGCACCGTGGTCGCTCAAAAAGGGTGGTCTAGGTCCGATTTAATTCGTACCGTGGTGCGGTTCGCTGCAGGTGAGAACCCAGTTCGGATCAAACACAGAAAGATAACCCTAGTCACGCATTATTATTGGTTTTTTGACTGCGAGCATTTGATGAAATACACGCAGTATCATAACTTGAGATCTATGAAACATTGTGAGTAGCAGAGCATTTACGAGTGCATCCGATACAGATTAGGGGAGATGGGGGCTATACCGGGGATATAGGCTACTGAATATAGCCATTCGCGTCGCAGTTAAAGCGGCTATTGCCTGGTTTCCGCCCTCATGTTGTTGGAAGACCAAAGCGAAAGTAATACTTCATGATAATCATAAATAGATTTAACTTGAGCGTTTTTGTCCAATAAACAAATGTATTGCATGGACACGTGGTTATGTTAGAAGTATTTTAGTTCGTTTTACTTTTGTCAATGTGAAATTAACTGGACCAAATGAGAGAAAAAAATACAATGTAACAAATAGTGAAACTCTGATTCCAACTATAGCTCAAAACTATTTGAAAACGCCCTTAGACTGTGATACTTGTTGTTCACAGTCTGGGATTAATGCAATAGCTACATTTGTTTGGAATTTTCTCACAAGCTCTACAAGCCAGAATGTTGAATAAAATGTAATTACTGAACTAGTTGCCTTTGCAGTTCATTTACATTTACATTTTAGTCATTTAGCAGACGCTCTTATCCAGAGCGACTTACAGTTAGTGAATACATATTTTTTTTTTATACTGGCCCCCCGTGGGAATCGAACCCACAACCCTGGCGTTGCAAACGCCATGCTCTATCAACTGAGCTACATCCCTGCCGGCCATTCCCTCCCCAACCCTGGACGACGCTGGGCCAATTGTGCGCCGCCCATGAGTCTCCCGGTCGCGGCCGGCTGCGACAGAGCCTGGATTCGAACCAGGATCTAGTGGCACAGTTAGCACTGGGATGTAGTGCCTTAGACCACTGCCCCACTCAGTTCGTCCTTTTGTGGGTAGGAATTTGATTTTAAAAAATATATATATCCACAGGAAAGTATTATTAAACCGATTTCTATCACCTGGCACATGCACAACATGATGTAAATAAGTGCACGAGCTCGGCACGTAGGCATGCATCTTGTGCAGGTATTTGCATCGTGTGCGCATTTTTCGGGTGGTTGACATCTATGGAGGACTAAAAGTGCCACAATTAAATAAATAAATACACCATTAAATAATTACTTAAATGTGTCATTAATTAATTAAAATTAGAATTAAATACATAAATGTGTAATTAAATGTATCATTAATTAATTCAAATACCGATTCATTTTATGTAAAATACATATATAATTATTTCACTATTTACATTTACATTTCATGATCCTGCATTGCAGTGATTCATGAATTACTTAAAACTGTCAAACTGACCCATCAAAGTCAGTGGGCGGGGCTAACGCGAATCTAGTCTGATCCATTGCTTTGGTCTGAAGTAGAGTAGGCCAACCTGGATAGAGACAATGGAGGATCTCCGTGAACTTTCCAGGGAGTTGGTTAGAGACATTTTAAACTTAGCAGAGGATGTAGAAGCAGGACCTGCTGACATTATCCGGAATTGATTTGTCTTGGCTTGATGCAGAGGGTAACCAATCAGGCGTTAGGTTCCGCCTACCAACTTTTGATGGGTCAGTTTGACAGTTTTAAGTAATTCATGAATCACTGCAATGCAGGATCATGAAATGTAAATGTAAATAGTGAAATAATTATATATGTATTTTACATAAAATGAATCGGTATTTGAATTAATTAATGATACATTTAATTACACATTTATGTATTTAATTCTAATTTGAATTAATTAATGACACATTTAAGTAATTATTTAATGGTGTATTTATTTATTTAATTGTGGCACTTTTAGTCCTCCATAGACATCTGGTCGCACTACCAGTGCTTTGAAAATTTGGGTAAATAATTATTTCCTGTTGATATTTTGTCAAAAATTTCACCCTATATAAATCAACGTTTATTGGTCATATACACAGCTAAGCAGATGTTATAGCAGGTGGAGCGAAATGCTTATGTTACTATCTCCTAACAATGCAGTAAAATGTCAATCAAGTACACAAAATTAAATGTGGATATATACAATTTATTTTTGTGTACTTGATTGACATATATATAAAAATAAAGGTCGGAATGAATCTAATTACAACCGAAATTGCACTAACAGTAATCCAAATGCAATCTATACATATGTACACCGGATGAATTTACACAAGATACAGTATAAGAATGGTAGGTACAGCAGTAAATATATTAGTGAGCTATGTCAAGAATCCAGTATATAAATATGCAGTGTGTGTATAAACAGTGTAACTAAAATCCAATGTACAGTAGTAGAAGTATTAGAATTAGCTATGTCGAGAATACAGTAGTTTTTAAATACAGTGTGAAACGGGAAGTGTCCAGTGGTTCAATGTCTCTATAACATGGGACAGTAGCGTTGGCTGTGTGTGTGTAAGAACCAACCCGACGGACAATCGGCAGAGTAAGTTCAAATGGAATTTATATTAAATATTTGTGACACACAGTGGACGTGAAGCTAGCTTTTCCGGTTTTGACAATGTATTTTTGCGCGCCAATGATGTCCAAGAGGGTTGTCACTAGTGAACACTGCCATGGTTATAAACCCTGCCTATTTCTACAATTTCTCTTCTTAAAATATTTTTAAAACTCTAACCTTCAAGGAAAACTCCACCCAAAAACTATATATTTGGTATTTGTTTCATTAGTCCATTGTTGATGTGGACCCAAAATGTTTTGCATGTCAGCAATCAAGTTTTTATATGTAACTTTCAAAATACAGAACTTTGTCCCGTATGATGTATTTTGCAGGAAGTTTACATACACTCAATTAGTATTTGGTAGCATTGCCTTTAAATTGTTTTGGGTAGCATTCCACAAGCTTCCCACAATAAGTTGGGTGAATTTTGGCCCATTCCTCCTGACAGAGCTGGTGTAACTGAGTCAGGTTTGTAGGCCTCCTTGCTCGCACACGCTCTTTCAGTTCTGCCCACAGATTTTCTATAGGATTGAGGTCATGGCTTTGTGATGGCCACTCCAATACCTTTGTTGTCCTTAAGCCATTTTGCCACAACTTTGGAAGTATGCTTGAGGTCATTGTCCATTTGGAAGACCCATTTGCGACCAACCTTTAACTTCCTGACTGATGTCTTGAGATGTTGCTTCAATACATCCACATAATTTTCCTTCCTCATGATGCCATCTATTTTGTGAAGTGCACTAGACCCTCCTGCAGCAAAGCACCCCCACAGCATGATGCTGCCACCCCCGTGCTTCACAGTTGGGATGGAGTTCTTCGGCTTGCAAGCCGCCCCCTTTTTCCTCCAAACATAACGATGTTCGTTATGGCCAAACAGATAATGGCAAACAGTTCTATTTGTGTTTCACACATTCTCTACCAAAGCGCTCATAGCATTGTCCCAATCCCACTGAAACCCAAAATCCTGACTCCTGTCTCGCATGAAAATTCCTAAATTTATTCTGTATTCCATAGGTTGCATTATTAAAGCACGTCTTTCGCCTATGCATGTCAAAATACCGCTAGAACATTGGTCAATGCTATCCAAGATCCTTGGGACGTCCCTACCTTAACCTCTACCCTAACCTTAACCATGAACCATTTTACATTTCAACTTCAATGGGGTTGGGGACGTCCCAAGGATACCGGAAAGCACGGACCCTATAAAATGTCCCCCACTTCTCAGCGCTGTCTCGTACTTTCTGCCCATATGAGCGCTTTGGTAGAGAATGTGTGATCAACAAACGGTATGAGAGTAGATATGGATATTTTTTAAACTGACTTGATCCCCGTTAAGATACCTTGATATTTAAACTATTTACGCACTTCACCACCCTGTTATTCATGAGCTGATCTACTGCCTATCTGTATAATCATCAACTCCATTTAGCCAAATATAGGAGATATTCTGTCATTAGTTGGAGGTTATCTAGCAAGACTAGCAACTTTGGTCATTTAACTTTTGTTTGACTGCCGTTACAAAGTTTGTGATTTGACAACGCTATAGCCTACTCGGAGTGCGCTCTGTGCTGAAATGCGCTGAATTAATTGAGGAAGATAACGCTCTGAATTGATTAACGGCCTGTTTTGCAATTCACAACAATGTCATTGGCGATCAAAGATAGTTACTCTTATCTATCATTACTAAATATCAGTTTAATTTGCTCTGAAATCTTTAGTGGCACAGCCGACAAGATGGTGCAGCACCCCTGTGTTTGTCACTGCATTTCATTTCAATACTCAGCCCAGTGTCATAAACTAGGTTTCCATCCAATTGGCGACAGATTTTCATGTGATTATTCTAAAATCTGCATGAAAACAATATGCATTTTCCCACCAGAGGTGTTACCATCAAATGGAATTATTGCAGATAAAAGGCTGTGCGTGAAGGCAGTGCACATACAACCTTTTGCAGTTAAATACCCATGTACCGAATAAAAAATAAAGTTAAATGGGTTTCCATCACATTTTCAACTTCTCACAAAAATGTTTGCGTTTATATAGCGAGTGTGCCCACTCTGGTATTGGCACGTGCGCTGTTGGCTAGAGCGCACGTATATAGCATACATGATGAGATTATTATGGACAAAAGAGCAATATTATTTTTATTTGTCAAACTGCAGCCAAGTATCGATTATTAGTACCAGAATAAGACCCTCAATATTTATTGGAAAGGCTCATCACCTTTCAATTTCACCACCCTGTGAAGTTCATCATAACTTATTTACATTAATCTGTAGCCTAATAAGATGCATGTTTTCCCGAAGAGTCGTAGTGGGATGACCACAAATGTCATCGCGTGACTCCAAGTTTACTTCGATATGATGGTTATTATATCAATATTTGCGCATAAAAGCATATCCACCAATTTATTTAACGCATCATTAGTTTTACCGACACAAAAATATCCCACCTTGTATTTTGTTTTGTCGACATTTGGAAAGTTTCCATCAGGCCTGTCATGAAATGTTTTATTCGACATGTACTTTACTCACATAAAAAGGTTGGATGGAACCCTGGGTAGTGACACATTTTGATAATGCTCAAAACCAGGGGTTAGAATCAGAATCAATTTCCAATCATTTCGTTCTGAACAGAACCATATTTTTTTTGTTCTGTTCCAATCAGCTAAATAAAGTTATGAACTGATTCGAACCCCAAAAAAAGTAGGTTTATATCGTTCCTTTGTAAACCTCTGGAATCGATATATATATATATATATATATATATATATATATATATATATATATTTTTTTTTTGTACATTTAGCTCGACATTAAATTACTTCACCAATGGATAGATCAGCTTGCTATGGAGCGTGCAAGCAATGCATTGGACAGACAAATGCAACTGATGCGGTGGGCATGAAGCGCTGGGCATCTTGTTGTATTGACATGTAGTATCTGAATTAGGCCCACAGAATTATACCTACGGAGGAGCGGCTTGTATGAAGGAACTTTGAATGTCTTTGAACTTCAGAGAGTTGGCTTAACTAACGTTGGACCAGAGCTAGCCCTTGATCATGACTCTCAGTTCCATTAGATTACACATAATGCCGCCAAGAGTTTGAGAGCTAGACCAGCGCTAGCTTGCTAACAAGGTTGTGTGTGCAGAGCGGCATCAGAATAAAAATAAAAACATGTCTTACCTTTTTGTAGTTAATAAATCCAATGTGATAACTATAGTATCCTTAACTAACATTGAAGAAGTTAATCCATTGTTCTCTAATTAAAAATCTCTCTCCCTAATTTCTGGATTGTGCCTGTAATGTCAGTAGCTACAGTAGACTATGCATGATTCGGGGGGAGGGTCAGGTAGCCTACACGCACACTGGCCACCCCTCAGAGCCTGGTTCCTCTCTAGGTTTCTTCCTAGGTTTCTGCCTTTTCTAGGGAGTTTTTCCTAGCCACCGTGCTTCTACATCAAATCAAATTGTATTTGTCACATAAACGTGTTTAGCGGATGTTATAGCTGGTGTAGTGAAATGCTTGTGCTTCTAGCTCCGACAGTGCAGTAATATCTAACAATTACACAACATATACCCAATACACACAAAAAAGTAAGGAATGGGATTTAAGAATATATACATATATGGACAAGCAATGACAGAGCGGCATGGACTAAGATACAGAAGAATATTATAGAATAGAATGCAGTATATAGATATGAGATGAGTAGTGCAAGATATGTAAACATTGTTAAAGTGACTAGTGTTCCATTTCTTAAAGTGGCCAGTGATTTCAATAGGCAGCAGCAGCCTCTAATGTGCTAGTGATGGCTATTTAACAGTGATGGCCTTGAGATAGAAGCTGTTTTTCATTCTCTCGTTCCCAGCTTTGATGCACCTGTACTGACCTCGCCTTCTGGATGATAGCGGGGTGAACAGGCAGTGGCTCAGGTGGTTGATGTCCTTGATGATCTTTTTGGCCTTCCTGTGACATCGGGTGCTGTATGTGTCTTGGAGGGCGGGTAGTTTGCCCCCAATAATGTGTTCGGCAGACCGCACCACCCTCTGGAGAGCCCTGCGGTTGTGGCCGGTGCAGTTGCCGTACCAGGCGGTGATACAGCCCGACAGGATGCTCTCAATTGTGCATCTGCATTGCTTGCTGTTTGGGGTTTTAGGCTGGGTTTCTGTATAGCACTTTGTGACATCTGCTGATGTAAAAAGAGCTTTATAAATACATTTGATTGATTGGCAAAGGTTTTCAGCTGGCAGGCATGCAGACACTGGAATACGTTTCTGAGTGACAGTGAGGGCTTTGCATAGGCGCTTTGTTGCATTTTTTGTGGGACTGGAAAAAAACACCCTGAACATAAAATAACATTATTAACTGGTTCCCATGCTTTTAAAATAACAGTTCTGTTCCGGAACAGTATAGATCACTTTTGTTCTCGGTTCTGTTCCTCAACATTTCTGTTCACTGAAAAATGTTTGACATTTCTCTTTTGCAGGGTTGATTTCAATGTGCCCATGAAAGACCATAAAATCACAAACAACCAGAGGTAATGATGAGCTTGTTTTCATTTGATCATCTATTAGTAATACACATGATTAGGAGCCTTATTCCAGCCTTTGCTCATACTTTGTACCTGTGTATTCCAGGATCAAGGCTGCTGTCCCCACCATCAAGCACTGTTTGGATCATGGGGCCAAGGCCGTGGTGCTGATGAGCCACTTGGGTCGTCCTGATGGGAACCCCATGCCCGACAAATTCTCCCTGGAGCCCGTGGCCGCCGAGCTCAAGAGCCTGCTGGGCAAGTGAGTGAGACCTCCTGGCTTCTTCCATGGCCCTTCATAGCTAGCTATTACCATGCTCCAAGTGAAAGATTACTCTACTTGTCTCAATGAATGAATCATAATTGTCATTTTGGAAATATTTGGGTTCTTTGTTCTCAGTCAGTGTTTCATTATGGAGCCCAATAAAGTACTCAGATGTGCACGTGTTTGCTTTGCACTCATTTTCAGGGACGTGCACTTCCTGAAGGACTGTGTGGGTCCCGATGTAGAGCAGGCCTGCGCCGACCCCGCAGCTGGTTCCGTCATCCTCCTGGAGAACCTGAGGTTTCACGTCGCTGAGGAGGGCAAGGGCAAGGATGCCTCCGGAAACAAGGTGGGTGCATGGCAACGGCTGCAGCCGCAGTAGCCATTCCCAGAGGCCCTTTCTATTTACATAAATAGAGGACTCCTGCCCTGCAGAGTCCCAAGCTGCAGCTGCGTCACTGTCCTGTGGTGTTAGCGTCAGCAGAGCCGCCAAGGGCAACGCAGAGAAGAAAATAGAGCCAAGCTTGCAGTGGCATGAGTCACCAGTCAGACATCTGACCTGAAAAGCAAGAATTTTGCAGTTTGAGACCAGGGTAGAGAAAATGGTGTCTTATCTCATCTGTTTGAGAAGCACATCTGCAATTACATCCATACTAGGGGGATTCCTCATGAAACTAGAACAAAAAAATACCATGATTTTGGGGATTTTCACATTTATTTAATCCATATAAGGGTCCTTTGTAGGGAGGATTGTTGACACACTGAGTGTACAAAACATTAAGAACACCTGCTCTTTCTATGACAGACTATCCAGGTGAAAGCTATGATCCCTTATTGATGTCACTTGTTAAATCCACTTCAATCAGTGTAGATGAAGGGGAGAAGACCGGTTAAAGGATTTTTTAATCTTGAGACAATTGAGACATGGGTTGTGTATGTGTGCCATTCAGAGGATGAATTGGCGCTTTAAACGGGTTATGGTAGTAGGTGCCAGGCACACCGGTTTGTGTAAAGAACTGCAAAGCTGCTGGGTTTTTCACGCTCAACAGTTTCCTGTGTGTATCAAGAATGGTCCACCAACAAAAGGACATCCAGCCAATTTGACACAACTGTGGGAAGCATAGGAGTCAACATGGGCCAGCATCCCTGTGGAATGCTTGACACCTTGTAGAGTCCATGCCCCAACGAATTGAGGCTGTTCTGAGGGCAAAAGGGGGGGCGGGGAGTGCAACTCAATATTAGAAAGGTGTTCCTAGTGTTAGATTCTAAATAAACAGATTAAAAAAAACTAACGGACAACTAGTCAAAGCTCAAACCAAGTTTATTCACCCACTGGGTCAAACAGCTGCATAAGACAAAGACGTGTTTACACGAGTACATATATTTATACCCTCTACTGGGTGGAGTCAACTCCTTGCACATCTAGACAGCCAATACATCTCTGTTGCTAGGCAGGAACTTAAGTGATGTGTGTAATAAAACTGTTCCTTCTCCCTTATCTAACCTGACCTGACCTCAGCCCACATTCCTCACTAATCCACAGCTATCCAACCTTATCAGTGACGCAACCAAGTGATTGCCTTTTCCCTTACTTAGTAAGTTTCCAGACCCATACTTCTCCATTGACCCCACCATCAACATTCCTCATACAGTGGGGAGAACAAGTATTTGATACACTGCTGATTTTGCAGGTTTTCCTACTTACAAAGCATGTAGAGGTCTGTAATTTTTATCATAGGTACACTTCAACTGTGAGAGACGGAATCTAAAACAAAAATCCAGAAAATCACATTGTATGATTTTTAAGTAATTAATTGATACATCAGAAAAGCAGAACTTAATATTTGGTACAGAAACCTTTATTTGCAATTACAGAGATCATACGTTTCCTGTAGGTCTTGACCAGGTTTGCACACACTGCAGCAGGGATTTTGGCCCACTCCTCCATACAGACCTTCTCCAGATCCTTCAGGTTTCAGGGCTGTCGCTGGGCAATACGGACTTTCAGCTCCCTCCAAAGATTTTCTATTGGGTTCAGGTCTGGAGACTGGCTAGGCCACTCCAGGACCTTGAGATGCTTCTTACGGAGCCACTCCTTAGTTGCCCTGGCTTTGTGTTTCGGGTCGTTGTCATGCTGGAAGACCCAGCCACGACCCATCTTCAATGCTCTTACTGAGGGAAGGAGGTTGTTGGCTAAGATCTCGCGATACATGGCCCAATCCATCCTCCCCTCAATACGGTGCAGTCGTCCTGTCCCCTTTGCAGAAAAGCATCCCCAAAGAATGATGTTTCCACCTCCATGCTTCACGGTTGGCATGGTGTTCTTGGGGTTGTACTCATCCTTCTTCTTCCTCCAAACACGGCGAGTGGAGTTTAGACCAAAAAGCTCTATTTTTGTCTCATCAGACCACATGACCTTCTCCCATTCCTCCTCTGGATCATCCAGATGGTCATTGGCAAACTTCAGATGGGCCTGGACATGCGCTGGCTTGAGCAGTGGGACCTTGCGTGCACTGCAGGATTTTAATCCATGACGGCGTAGTGTGTTACTATTGGTTTTCTTTGAGACTGTGGTCCCAGCTCTCTTCAGGTCATTGACCAGGTCCTGCCGTGTAGTTCTGGGCTGATCCCTCACCTTCCTCATGATCATTGATGCCCCACGAGGTGAGATCTTGCATGGAGCCCCAGACCGAGGGTGATTGACCGTCATCTTGAACTTCTTCCATTTTCTAATAATTGCGCCAACAATTGCCTTCTCACCAAGCTGCTTGCCTATTGTCCTGTAGCCCATCCCAGCCTTGTGCAGGTCTACAATTTTATCCCTGATGTCCTTACACAGCTCTCTGGTCTTGGCCATTGTGGAGAGGTTGGAGTCTGTTTGATTGAGTGTGTGGACAGGTGTCTTTTATACAGGTAACGAGTTCAAACAGGTGCAGTTAATACAGGTAATGAGTGGAGAACAGGAGGGCTTCTTAAAGAAAAACTAACAGGTCTGTGAGAGCCGGAATTCTTACTGGTTGGTAGCTGATCAAATACTTATGTCATGCAATAAAATGCAAATTAATTACTTAAAAATCATACAATGTGATTTTCTGGATTTTTGTTTTAGATTCCGTCTCTCACAGTTGAAGTGTACCTATGATAAAAAATACAGACCTCTACATGCTTTGTAAGTAGGAAAACCTGCAAAATCGGCAGTGTATCAAATACTTGTTCTCCCCACTGTACATGTAACCATTAACTTCTAGCATAGCAGGTATTTCAAATTAGAACCCAACACTAGTGTTTGGTATACTCAGTGTATATTTGACATTTTGTATCTTAACACATAATTGAGAAATCATTAATTGAAGTTTTATATTTGTGACATTTTGGCCTTACCCAGGCCTCCTTTAAGACTCCATAATGTTTCATCTGTAGGTTCTGGAAAGCAAACATTGATGCCATATGAACCGTTACCGCATCCACTGTAATATGAGTAGTATTTTGATTTCAATAACACATTTCTTACATTAAATTATGATTAGTGAAAATATAAACATTAATATTGAAAATATACACATTTTTGATTAGACACATTTTTCAATATATTGTTGAACATAATATATGCTACGGGCAAATCAAAGTTCCAGAGTGGGATTTCTGCTACTTTTAATTATGATCCAATTTGTAAACATTACCAACAGAGTGAATGTGAAAATAGATTCAAAATGGTCACCCTCTGCTGGGGATTTGCAGGATGTGCAATGATACAAGTAAAAGGAGGGCTGTGATTGGTTACATTGATTGTCTACTATGGCAATTTCTCTGTATAAAATGGGCCATAACTTTAAAACCAGCAGAGATCCCACTCTGGAACGTTGATATGCCCGTAGAGTTTATTATGTTCAACGATATACAAATAAATTGGCAATCCTTCCTCCAAAGGACCCTTATATTATTAACTGTTGTGAAAATCCCCAAATTCATGGTCTTTTTTTTTTCTTCTGGTTTCGTGAGGAATCACCCACTACAACAGTCAGCGACTCTTAAGAAGGTTGCACCTCTGAGAGTATTATGTCAATGCATAGGTTACTTCTACCCCTACCACCTCCATCTCCTCTCATACAGCCGAGGTGCAGCCCTGACCTGCTGACATTTTTGAGTTAAGGGTAGTGTGTTGTCCCGGGCAGAGCGTGTTGCTTTTCTTGTCATGTGAGCCCTGGCTGGTATGCAGCCCTTAGAGGGGGCAGAGGAGATGGGAAAGGGGGCAGCTGTCGACCTTTCACAAGGTCCCTCGTTGGCTGGGTTGTGGCAGGCGACAGAGTAGGTAAGCCTAGATGTTACCACTGATTTGGGGTCGGCTCTTTTTTAATTCAACTTGGTTAAGGTTAGGATTGTGGGTAGCGTAATCTGATCCCAGGTCTGTGGTTAAGGGCAAGTTCTATGATGACCTAGTTGAACTGCTCTTGTGCCAACGCCTGGCATTTGGATGTGACACCACAGATCAGCGTTGACCTTTCTGTGAAAGAGTTTATAAACTTAGCCTGCTAAAGTGCAGTAGGAACCTGATCTAAAGTACATACAGTATATTCACATACAGTACCCTGATCATGCAGTCACCTCCACTGGCATCACTGCGGTATATTCACCATGTGCTCTTATTGATACACTGTATAGAATCGAAGCACCGCTGCAATGCGTTATTTTATCTCAGCGACTCTTTCGTCCGCGCGCCCGTGTGTGCGTGATTAACTGGGGAACTATGCATGGCTTCGTTGCTCCGTGGGAAACTTGTAAAGGCTCTCATATCTCTTCCGTGGGGAAAATCAGTTAAACATGTCTGAAGGCTCTCATATATTGGCTCACTTAAGCCCTAAAATAAATGTGTTCATATATTGTATAAAATAAATAAATAAAAATGCGCTGCATTCATTGCATGCCTTTTCGACAGAATAAATAAAACAGGGTTGGGTTAATAACTAGAAAAATGTAATCCATAAGCCTACTAATACATTCATTAATTAAAAACCTTCACATAAAGAAATGTTATTTCAACCTTGTAATAATTCATTTTCTTTCAATTTGATATATAGAATCTAATGATCAATATAATAAAACTAGGCCTATGATATTTCCTTGAATTGGCCTAGCCTACTCAAACATCATAATTGGCTTTAGCAAGGGCTTTGCAGATTCATAAATTTTTTAGGATTCAGTTTAGGCTAATTATTAGAGATTCTGCACCACTGTTTGTCGGCAGCACACTAAATCTTTCAATCGATTGGAGGAGTATTAGGCTGTAGTGATAATAGCCTATGTAAAGTCTGTATCAATAGGCTAGCAGTTGCATTTTTTTGATATGAAAAGGAGAGGGAAATATTACTGACCTGGACACATAGGAAAGTGTCCAGATGACTGAGTAGGCTAGGTGTGAATGTTCTGAAAGATTAATCATCTGAATACGAAACCCACCGACCCCTTATGGGCCATCAGCGGGACAAAAGTCTTGCTGAGTCTATGAGATTGTGTTCATAATGATATGTTAGGCTATGCCGTTAAACCCCTTTTCATGGGCACACAAATCCAAAATGATGTATGCAATTGCAAAATCGAACACTTTGAACCAAAAGTCACCTCTAACTTGCGTGGTTCTTCAATAGGCTATGCATAGTCTAATAGACCTTACTTGTTGGGTGCACATTTGGTATCCAGCTGTTTAGTTAGGCGTAGTGAAATTGTCGACCATCATCAGCTGATCCAGGAAATATTTTTGGGAATGAGAGTCAAGTGACAAACCGCTGTTGTGATAGGCCTATAGCACACAGTGCGAAAACAGCCAGTGCGGGAAAGTCCAGAATATTTTGATGTCTCGTTGAAGACAGTTGTGATCCACGTTGGATCACAATACAATATGGTGAATTTGAATGATGTAAATAATGATAATAGTGAGAGCCCTGTACTAGATGGACCCGGATCCCTTTAATCATAGAGGCTATTGTTACTTTGTGTCTCTAAAATCACAATGTTTCCATTTCTGTTCTCATGTGACAGTCTTAAAAAAAAAAAAAAAATACCAAATGTCGGCCTTTTATCAGATCTGAATATTTTCGCTTGATCTGTTTATTTTAATACATTCTGTAGCCTATGCTATAAAATATAATATTCTGCCTATATGAACACATTTATTTTAGGCCATACCCTAAAGAACAGCTACATGATTTCATGAAAAGCAGCAAACGCACAGTTTCACATTCTTCAATAAAAGATTCAGAAACAGGAAAAAGGCTACAGCTCCCTTCAGTTTCCCCGCCAAATAGGCTTACATGAAACTCAATGTATCTCAACGATGTTGAGTGCAGGGGGGGGTTTGTACGCAACGTAGTACTTTCCACAAAAAGTTTTGCTCTACAAAAAGACACGTAAGCGTATAGAAATGGCTCTTCAAAGAACATGGATTAGTCTCTCCTGGCCCATAGGCTACTTTCAGTGTGAGCGACCCTCTAACATGAAGTTGTTAATTAAATTAAATTAATTGGTCATTTAGCAGACGCTCTTATCCAGAGCGACTTACAGGAGCAATTTTAGGGTTAAGTGCCTTGCTCAAGGGCACATCGACAGATTTTTCACCTAGTCGGCTCAGGGATTAGGACCAGCGACCTTTCGGTTACTGGCACAACGCTCTTACCCACTAAGCCACCTGCCGCCCTTCAAGTTGTAAAATATAAAACGTCCCTTTTATGTTCAGTAATGATCTAAGTGTGGAGGCCAGTGTTTTTTCTCTTGAAGTTTGGAGCATTTGTGTAAATCACCATACCGTTGTATCATGCCTTGTGTGTTGAGCCGCTGTATAGTCTTGCATCACTACTCATATGTGCCACACTGGTGGAGTTAATGCAGGCACAGCTTTACCTAGTGGCTTCTAGAGCAGGGTTTCTCAAACTCTGACCTGCTCCCCCCTCCCCCCTTGGTGCACACTTTGGTTTTTGACCTAGCACTACACAGCTGATTCAAATAACCAACACATCAAGCTTTGATTATTTGAATCAGCTGTGTAGTGCTAGGGCAAAAACCAAAATGTGCACCCAGGGGGGGCCCCAGGACAGAGTTTGGGAAACCCAGGCCTAGAGGTGTAGTGCATGAGAGAATTCAGAGCGCACATTTGCACAAAAATGGCCGCAGACATTCATGGATGGATGATGGATCACCTCACTGTTCTGGCTGCAGGGGGAAGGCAAAGAAGTACTGCCTGAAGCTCAAAGGGAGTTCCTCCTAAACTTCCTGAAGAAGCCACCAGGTGCCCAGAGATGTGAGATGGAAAAATGGTCAATGGAGCTATGGAAAGCTCTAAATAACATGATGGATGTGGCGCTAGACAATCACCAAAAGGCCTGGCAATCAGAACCGGATGTGTTGGCCAGGAGTAGTACTTTACAGTGTATCGTCAGCATGGAGAATGGACATTTACTCACCCAGTCCCCTGAGCAAGAAGGGGCTGGGTTTGGGCAAGAAGTCAAAGGTTCTGTCAGCAAACCAGAAAATGAGCTAAAGGCTCCGCTAACTGCTGAAGCTGAGAAGAGGAAGAAGGCTGAGGAAAGCCTGCTGAAACAGAAAGAGCAACAGCGAACCACCAAGCTGGAGAAGTATTGGAAGGGGACTTTGCAGGAGCTGCAAACTTTGAAACAGGTAAATATAAGAAAATGTGCTCCACACGATGAAGCTGAAGACTTGAAGAGGAGGCTGAACATTCTTCAAGATCTCCTGTGCAAAACTGAAGAGAAAAAGTGTCTTCAAGAAGAGGTTGATGACCTCAATGAAGAATGCACAGTCCAAGGAAAGTGCATTGAGAACTTGAAGCGGGAGAGGAGTGAGCTACAGGCCAAAGTGGGTGAACTGGTGCAGGTACCCGAGGGTCAAGATGAAGAAACCCAGATTGGTGAGTCTTATACTGTTCCTCAAGATGTAAGCTGCCAAACCAGCACATTAATAGATGGTCACAGCCAGACGGACGCCCCACCAGATTTGATCTCTGTGAGTAGCCAGACTGACAGGCTTGATGAATCTCATAAGAATGATGCATCTCAAAACTGCCGATCCCATGCTGATGTTAACCATGATGCATGTGAGTGTGACCCCAGTGCAATGCTGAAGGCCCAGTGCACTCAAGAAGAAGAGTGGTGGTGGGATGCTGAGCGGGAGATGGAAGATGAGTGCCAAACGTCGAACTACCTGGAACCCACTAACTTGGTGAGTGAATCCATTTCATATGGTAATGTTTCTTATGGGAAACATTCAGAACCAAAGATGGCAAATGAAGAGACATGAATGACTAACCACCATGGAATAGAGTCTCACCTCCCACACCCCAAGGTTGCAGCTGCCAGCCAGGAGGAGCCCTGGTACCAAAGTCGCCACAACAAAGATGGCCGCTCGGAAAGATTGGACCAAGTTTGGACCATTTCTGTAAACCACCTTTTCATTTTATAAATATACCAGCTTTTGCCTGGTTTTGAACCATGCCTTATGTGTTGCGCCTCTGAATTGTCTCGCATCACTATCCACCTATGTGCCACACCTAGTGATCTGCCACATGTATTATAGACCATTAATACAGTTGATCAACTGCCATCAGAACAGCCTCAATTTGTCGGGCATGGACTCTACAAGGTGTCAAGCATTCCACAGGGATGCTGGCCCATTTTGACTCCAATGCTTCCCACAGTTGTCAGGTTGGCTGGATGTCCTTTGGGTGGTGGACCGTTCTTGATACACACAGGTAACTGAGCGTGAAAAAACCAGCAGCTGTGCATTTCTTGACACACTCAAACTGGTGCGCTGAATGGCACACTTACACAATCCATGTCTCCATTTTTCTCAAGGCATAAAAATCCTTCTTTAAACTCTCTTCCCCTTCATCTACACTGATTGAAGGCGATAAGGGATCATAGCTTTCACCTGGATTTACCAAGTCAGTCTGTCATGGAAAGAGCAGTTTTGTACACTCAGTGTAGATATGGGTCATATTGTTGAATTTGCAAAATTAACAATGTTCTATAACTTCACATGAAGAATGACTAGGCATCGATACCATCTATATGAATAAATGAGGCCTCTCTGTATACCGCACAATGGGCCGTACAGCTCTGTATTCTAGATGTAATAGAGCCTGTTGGTTGTAACCTGAGCCCTCTGCCGTCTATAACAATGTGTCCTATCCTCTCTCCTTTCTCTGCTAGACCAAAGCAACCCAGGAGCAGATTGATTCCTTCAGAGCCTCTCTGTCTAAACTGGGAGATGTCTACATCAACGATGCCTTCGGCACAGCACACAGAGCCCACAGGTAGGGTCACTGGACACTACTGTGGAGTGATGATGATTGTCCTTCAAGAGGAAATTATTTTTCTGTCAAATCACTCATTGCCACTCAGTGTCTCCTAGTTTCCTTCGTCTTCTTCCCTTCTTTCTACCTCTCTTCCTCTCTTTTTCTGTCTCCCTGCTTCTGTTTCTCGCACTGCTTTTCCTATCCCTTACTTTCTCTCCTGTTCTCCCCTTACCCGCATACCCGCCTCTCCCTCTCCCAGCTCCATGGTTGGAGTGAACCTGTCCCAGAAGGCTGCAGGTTTCCTGATGAAGAAGGAGCTGGACTACTTTGCCATGGCTCTGGAGAAACCAGCCAGGCCCTTTCTGGCCATCCTCGGAGGGTAAGTAACTGGTCCAGAGACAGTTTGGTGGTTTAGTTTAACATGGCTCTGGTTATGGATGGTCCTGGGATAGCACATCGGTGATCAATTAGGAATAAAGTACCCAGAGGCCTGCATCTGCTTCTCTGGTATCACTCTATTGAGCACTGGCTCTTCAACTAGCTCTCCAGCTAAAATAGACTTCATCTAGTCTATTATAGGCACAATAAAAGCCATGCAACCTCACTTAAATATTTATCTCACACTCTCGCTCTCTTTCACTCTTTCTATTCTCTGCCACTCATTCCCTCACTCAATCTCTATTTTTCTCTGATATATCAGCCTTGGGCTGTTGTAGTTTCATACTCAAGTGCAGTGCTTTAAGGTCTCTCTTAAATACAGAAGAGGCAATCCAGGAATAGAGACCTTAACACAAAACCGCTGAGCCTCGAGGGACCCCCTTTCAAGCTAATGAGCAGTAATTAATACATTTCATATATGCTATTGCGAAAATAATCATTTGGTTGTTTTTTATGAACACGATTTTTAGAATACGATTATTTTATTTCAAATAAAACAATAGCTTTTTCATTTGTTTTTGTTACTGTAGGCTATAAGTAAAAACAAAACAGCACAAAAAACAATTTTTCAATAAATTGTATTTGTGTAGTGTCCATTGTTACAACTATGAAACAAAAAGTGTATGTATTAGAACATGGTGACAGCTTTTTATAATGACAAAATAAAAAAAATACCGCAACCACCAAGACGCATGGTCAGCAAGATGCGCGGTCAAATGAAAACATCAGTAACCTAAAATCACTAAGCGCCTAGTGTGCTTGATAAATAGTAAAAATCAGCACAAAATCAATAATGGCATTATAATGAATGTGTCGATATGACAGCAGTCAAAAATTGTCTATTTATTTGTTGGATACCATAGCGAATTTGTCTGTTTCTTTGTCATCAAAATGGAGGTAACGCATGATCTCTCTGAAGCGATCCCGTGACATGGTTTCTCCAAAGAAAAGTATCCCATAGATATCTGACCAGAAGCTCTCCATATAGAAACTCTTTACACCGAATGCTCCACGGACATACAGGATTGAAATGAACGCTTCCAGCTCATCAACAGTCAGATCCCAGGCAGTGTCTCCTTACTCCGTGTGCACCTTAGCCACAGTCCCTGAATGCTGTAGCATGTCCATGTCACATAAACAATGACAGATGGTGAGTGCATTGCTGATATTGTTTTTTGCTTGAGATGTATGACCTGCGCGCTTAGTGATGAGATTTTGTGCTGATAATCGGCCCATTGCATTGTCACTGGCTTGTTCTATCTAAACGGTGCTGTCCGTTCCTCTCTCCTGTCTCACTGTTTCATTTGGTAGTGGCACGGGCACCTGCTTAGTGCGCACCGTTCTGCCTTTTTTGCGCTTAGGCCTCTGTGTTATTCAGGCTGAGGCTCAGAATCGGAAGAATAATCATCAGATGTCATGATTAATTTCTGCCCTGACATCTGAGTCGTTTTCATTCAGAACTTGTGGCAGTGCTAACGCAGCATGTGCATACATTCGTCTTGGTCTTCTTGCCATTTTAAATTAAGCACGCTCTCACTGTGTACTCCAAGTAGACTAGAGTAGACTGATAAGACTGCTTGGATTTGGTGGACTGATATAGGGTACATACCATTTTGAGATTATCATTAGAATATACCAATACAATAGAATGTCTTCATTCACAATTGGTGATTACATCATTATGCATAATTCGCTTCCCCTCACTCATCAACTCACCCTTTACATTTTAGTCATTTAGCAGACGCTCTTATCCAGAGCGACTTACAGTTAGTGAGTGCATACATTATATATATATATATATATTATTTTTTCATACTGGCCCCCTGTGGGAATCGAACCCCAACTGAGCTACATCCCTGCCGGCCATTTCCTCCCCTACCCTGGACGACGCTGGGCCAATTGTGCGCCGCCTCATGGGTCTCCCGGTCGCGGCCGGTTACGACAGAGCCTGGATTCGAACCAGGAAGCTAGCACTGCGCCACTCGGGAGTACATTCTCCCCCATCACACTTTACTTCATTTATTTAATCTGTTATAGGTGTGAAATTAGTTTAGGTTAAGTTTCCAGGCAATTATCAGGGTGATTATCAACTGGGCACGGCACATTCCACTGTCGGGAGAAGGAGCGGAGCAGGCCCTACTGTTGGGAGGAGGGGGGGGGCAACGGGGAAAACCATTTTAAAAATGACGTGCCCTCATAAAACTGTTTAACTCCAATTCTGTTTGTGATATTAAGATTCTAACAACGGTGTGTTCTATAGACTTATTTAGGAAAAGTCAAGGATGGAGGCATGACTTAAAAAATGGCAGAGTAATTAAAATAAATACATTCATGAGCAGTCAAAATGACTGCTTTAGCTAGAGGTTCTAGTGTTAAAGGAAATGTCCACCCAAAAACTATCATTTGGTATTTGTTTCATTAGTCCATTGTTGATATAGTCCCAAAATGTTTTGAATGTCAACAATCAAGTTTTTAAGATATAGATCTTTCAGATTACAGAAATACATCATACCGGCTGTATTTCTGTATTTTGAAAGATGTATATCTTAAACTTGATTGCTGACATGCAAAATATTTTGGGACTATATCAACAATGGACTAGTTCATTTTAAGTTTATTATGTAATACCTCAATCTGTGTGACAGTACTTTACTTATGCATTCTAGTCTTCCCTTACCACTGGCCACTTTACAGCCTTGCACAGTGGGAAAGTTGAGCCACGCACACACACAGCTAGCTACCGTTGGCCACATGTCGAAATTGGCCCAGTGTCAGAGTCCATATCATCCTGGCATTGTGCAACCGCTATATCCAATCAGGTTCTTTCACTGCCACAGTTGTGTATTTTCAAAGATGACCCCAGTTTTCAACTCAGTTCAGCTTTTTGGCCACTGCCAGTGACAAAGTACATTGACGTGAGTTGGCTAATAATAAGCCACACGACAATTAATGAAAGGCGGTAGGATTTAGCACTAAATTCATTATACAACAGGAAACAAATAATGTAACACCAACAAAATGACTTTCCCAATATGGCTATCTTCCTCAACTAGAAACCTTTCCATAACAATGTTTTACCATGTGTGTTTATAACTACACTAACACTGCATTATGACTACATTGTAACTCATTGTAATTGAGTGTGTTTTATAATGGATGATAGATATGGGCTTCAAATAAATGGGCTTCATGTCATTGTCTTACTATGTTTACCAGTGTGTTCATATGTTTTCATAGTTTCTCTCTGTTGTGTGCAGAGCCAAGGTCAAGGACAAGATTCAACTGATCAACAACATGTTGGACCAGGTCAATGAGATGATCATCGGTGGTGGCATGGCCTTCACCTTCCTCAAGGTCCTCAACAACATGGAGGTGAGGACAGAGAGGGGGGAGGAAGACTGAGGGAGATTATACTTTGTTTAAGGGAGACACTGGAGGGGAGAAATGGAGAGGATGATTCTGCCCCTTTTTTGGCCAATTGTATTTATATCATGATTTTAACCTCCTATTTGATTGAACATAACTCGGAACTCACTCACGCCTCAGCACAATCTAGTTAAATCAGGGGTCGCATTAGCTTTCAGAAATCTGCATTTAAAAAATGCAGACCATCAAAAAATCTGCTTTCAACCATTTCACCTGTGTTTTATATTGAAAGTCACTTTTTGCTTCAATAGAATAATAAGGGGCGTGTAACTATAGTTTTTCTTAACACAAAATACATTAGTGCAACACATTCGGCAGAATATCGTTCATCAGATGAGAAATGACAGAAGTGCAACGCTATTTGGCTAGCAGCCACACATAAGTAAATTAACTAGCTTTCATTTCCTAATGTTTCGCTTGAAGTTAATCTTGCATTTTAACTTCCTACCAGAGAAAAACTACACTGGAGGAAAGTACCAGAGAAAAGTAGCCTACACATCAGTCAGAGCGCTGTCTGGTGATCCAATGACCAGAGCAAATGTAATGCAACTGAAGCACTAAATTACTCCTTTAACATTCATGATTTGGAGTGAACCCTGACTGAAGCGGAGCAGAATTTACAATAAGAAGCATTTTAGATCTGCGTTTACAGAACGCAGCAAGATTTTTGAGTTTTATCTTTCCTTTTCTGTGTGAAACACAGAATCCTTTGTTAACGCGACACCTAGTTAAATATGTTCAATGATTGACCATGGTGTATATCATGGTGGTTATAGTTGAAATATTACAATGAGTGATCCTCTCTTCCCTGGCAGATCGGCACCTCCCTGTATGATGATGAGGGCGCCAAGATCGTCAAGGAGCTGATGGCCAAGGCTGAGAAAAACAAGGTCAAGATCAACCTCCCCGTCGACTTCATCACTGCCGAGAAGTTTGACGAGCATGCCCAGACTGGCACCGCCACCGTGGCCGCTGGCATCCCCGCAGGCTGGATGGTGAGCAACCTGGGTCATGTTCATAAGGGCATGCAATGGAAAACATTTTGAAATGCTTTGTAACAGAAAACTAAAATGAGTCCCTCCAAGTTTCAGACCGTTTTCTTCCATTTGTTACCTAATGAACACAACCCTGATTGGGTTTTGTCTTCTTGAGGGGTGGTCATGGGAATTATTGTGCTAGCTAGCGATTTGATATACTGTATCACTTTAATAGTGAAATAAAATATAGGACGGTTTTATGTAGACATTGTAGATGAATACCCTCGATAACAACATGTAAAACTGGGGTTGAGCTCTGTGTCCCTCTGTTCTCCTCAGGGTCTGGACTGTGGACCAGAGAGCAACAAGCTCTTCGCAGAGGCTGTAGGCAGAGCCAAGCAGATCGTGTGGAACGGCCCCGTGGGTGTGTTTGAGTTTGAGAACTTCGCCAAAGGAACCAAGAGCCTGATGGACAAAGTGGTGGAGGTCACCAACTCAGGCTGCGTCACAATCATCGGTAAGACCCGATAACACTGTTTGCACAATTACCATAAAGCACGTCTTTCACCAGGCACCTGAGACCAATGTTTGCAAATAAATAGCTACATGTATAATTGAGATCATTCAGGAAACCAAGCCTGCTACTGAGTATAATGTTAACACATATTTTTATTCAAGTTTATGCTTGCTCTGGCATTTTCATTGGAAGCTTTTCTTTATCCACTCTTTTTGTTGATATCATTGTCACCGTTAGATAGCGCCAAATACCAACACCCTTTCTTCCTCAAATCTATAGTAGTGAATGATCACTATCACAGTGAAGGGTCTGTATGACCTTAATGTTACCCCCATGTTGTCTTGGTGATGCCCAGGTGGAGGCGACACAGCTACCTGCTGCGCCAAATGGGGCACAGAGGACAAGGTCAGCCATGTCAGCACAGGAGGCGGAGCCAGTCTGGAGCTTCTGGAGGGTGAGTGACGTCACCACGGTTTCATCCGGACTTTTGACCTACACTACCAGTCAAAGTTTGGACACAACTACTCATTCAAGGGTTTTTCTTTATTTTTACTGTTTTTTACATTGTAGAATATTAGTGAAGACATCAAAAGTATGAAATAACACATATGGCATCATGTAGTAAACAAAAAAGTGTTAAATAAATCAAAATATATTTTATATTTGAGATTCTTCAAATAGCCACCCTTTGCCTTGATGACAGTTTTGCACACTCTTGGTATTCTCTCAACCAGCTTCACATGGAATGCTTTTCCAACAGTCTTGAAGGAGTTCCCACATATGCTGAGCACTTGTTGGCTGCTTTTCCTTCACTCTGCCGTCCGACTCATCCCAAACCATCTCAATTGGGTTGAGGTCGGGGGATTGTGGAGGCCAGGTCATCTGATGCAGCACTCCATCACTCTCCTTCTTGGTCAAATAGCCCTTACACAACCTGGAGGTGTGTTGGATCATTGTCCTGTTGAAAAACAAATGATCGTCTCACTAAGCCCAAACAAGATGGGATGGCGTATCGCTGCAGAATGCTGTGGTAGCCATGCTGGTTAAGTGTGCCTTGAATTCTAAATAAATCACAGACAGTGTCACCAGCAAAGCACCCCCACACCATAACACCTCCTCCTCCATGCTTTACGCAGGGAACTATACATGCAGGGATCATCCGTTCATCCACACCGCGTCTCACAAAGACACTGCGGTTTGAACCAAAAATCTCCAATTTGGACTCCAGACCAAAGAACAAATGTCCACTGGTCTAATGTCCATTGCTTGTGTTTCTTGGCCCAAGCAGGTCTCTTCTTCTTATTGGTGTCCTTTAGTAGTGGTTTCTTTGCAGCAATTCGACCATGAAGGCCTGATTCACATAGTCCCCCCTGAACAGTTGATGTTGAGATGTGTCTGTTACTTGAACTCTGTGAAGCATTTATTTGGGCAGCAATTTCTGAGGCTGGTAACTCTAATGAACTTGTCCTCTGCAGCAGAGATAACTCTGGGTCTTCCATCCCTGTGGCGGTCCTCATGAGAACCAGTTTCATCATAGCGCTTGAAGGTTTTTGTGACTGCACTTAAAGAAACTTTCAAAGTTCTTGAAGTTTTCCATTTTGACTGACCTTCATGTCTTAAAGTAATGATGGACTGTCATTTCTCTTTGCTTATTTGAGCTGTTCTTGCCATAATATGGACTTGGTATTTTACCAAATAGGGCTATCTTCTGTATACCCCCCCCCCCCCCCCCCCACCTTGTCACAACACAACTGAATGGCTGAAACGCATTAAGGAGGAAAGAAATTCCACAAATTAACTTTTAAGAAGGCACAGCTGTTAATTGAAATGCATTCCAGGTGACTACCTTATGAAGCTGGTTGTGAGAATGCCAAGAGTGTGCAAAGCTGTCATCAAGGCAAAGGGTGGCTATTTGAAGAATCTCAAATATAACATATATTTTGATTTGTTTAACACTTTTTTGTTTACTACATGATTCCATATGTGTCATTTCATAGTTGTGATGTCTTCACTATTATTCTACAATGTAAAACAATTTAAAAATAAAGAAAAACCCTTGAATGAGTAGGTGTGTCCAAACTTTTGACTTGTAGTGTACTATTTCTCTGAAAGATACTCACAATTTATGTGTAATTTGTCTCTGCTTGGAACACGCTCAGGTGGCCCTCTCTCGAACCAGTCCATGTGTGCATTGCCACGTACTGCGTGCAAACTCTCTGGAAGCTTTCTCTCTGAGGAAGCTTTCCTTTCCCGGATGCCAGTACCTCGGCTGGGACCAATGGGCAAGAAGTGGAGAGGGACTTGGGGCTTTGGTTGGAACAGGTGGAACTAGCATCCCAACATAGCGATTTTGAGACTGCTGGTTACATACAGGGCCCAGGTTCGGGTGGTGTCTCAGGATGGCTCTGGTGGTTTCTCGGGTGACGAAGAGGACTTTGTTCAGATATAGCCACCTACCTACAGGAGTAGCAGGGGAAACCATGGTATCCAACGCATCGCTCATAGAACTGTGCTGCAGGGCAGCTATGCATTTGGAGGTGTAGTGGCCATGTTCACCCCCGTGGCAGAAGTGGAAAGAACCTGCCCCCTGTGGCTGCCACAGTCAAGCACCACCTATCCCTGTTTCCAGATTTCATTGACGAATGGACAACAACCTGGTCCAACCCGCATTCAGCTAAGCTGATACTACATAGGTGTGCACCTTCGTGGATCTGGAGGGGATGGAGGGGGCAGGGCTGGTGCACACTCCTCCAGTGGATGGCAAGCTAGCTGGCTACCTAGCCCCGTTTGCTAACAAGGATGTGGCTAATGCGAATCCTACGCTCCCTAACATGCACTGTCGCTTTTTGGTTGCTCAGCTGGAGAAGGTGTATTGTGCAGAGGGTGGTTGGGGCACACAGTAGGCTTTTCCCAGTTCCTCCGCCTACTGGGGATAATGGCTTCTATAATAGTTGTCATTCCCCTGGGACTATTATTGACTTAGCCGTTCCCGCGCTGGGTGCTAGCAACGCTCTTGGATGCGTTTCGCCACCTAAACCAGTCGATTCAGGTGTCCCCGACATGCCTTCAGGCACTGGCCCAGTGGAGAGAACTCCGGGTACTGTCTAATGGGCCAGGTGTTGTCCCGCAAGGTGGTCACGACTCGTCCCCCCAAAGGGTGGTGCGCGCTGTGTGATGGTTACTCAATTCGGGGAGTATGGACAGTGTCAGAGTGCCCGGCATATCAATTACCTGGAACTTCTGATGGTGTACTTAGCGCTCAGGCGCCTCGCGTTTGTCGGGCGGGCATGTGCTGGTCAGATCCAACATGGCAAGGGTGGCATACAGTACATCAACAGGCAGAGGGGGACTCGGTCCCTCCCCCTCCTCACCTTGTCTCGCTCCCTGTTACTGTGGAGCAGTGCGCATTTGATCTCACTTCGGGCGATGCATGTTCCCTGTTGCCTCAACTCGGGTGCGTATCTGCCATCCGGGGGGGCCATCTTCCTCAGGAGTGGGGACTACACCAGTGGCCTCGGACCCCCCTTACGCGTTTCCACCAGTGGTTCTGATTCAGCCCATGTTGGAAAGGGTGCGCCGGGAGGGCTTAATTAATTCATTTTTGTGGCTCCCCATTGGCCCAGGCAGCCTTGGTTCGCGGAAATCATTCACTTTTTAGATGGGGACCCGTGGCAACTCCCGTTCTGCAGGGACCTGTTGTCCCAGGCGCACGGGCAGGTTTGGCACGCAAGGCCAGATATTTAGTTCCTATGGGCCTGGCCCCTGAGAGGGCCAATCTGATGGCTAGAGGCTTACCTCCACATGTTATTGCTACCATTCAGTCTGCAAGGGCGCCCTCCACAAGAGGGCTATATGCATATAAGTGGCAAGCGTTTGAGCTCTGGTGCTAAGAGAAAGGGCTTGTTCTATTTCAGTGCTCTGTGAGGGACATCCTTATGTTCCTCAAGGAGCTTTTTCGAGCAGGGGCAGGCCTTCTCCACGTTAGAAGTGTACGTGGCCGTCATCTCAGCATGTCATGTGGGAATTGGCGGAGCCTCACCGGCGTCTCACATGGGACTTGGAGCTGTTTTGGAGGCACTGTGTGCAGCCCCCTTTGAGCCTCTGGAGTCGGTGGATCTGAAGATCCTCTCTCTTACAAAACCTCCCTGCTCATGGCTTTGGCTTCGGCTAAACGTGTTGGGGACCTCCGCGTTATCTGTAAACCCTTCCTGTACTCAGTTTGCCCCAGGCGACCTAAGGTGACGTTGCGTCCAAATGCGACCTTCACCCCGAAAGTCATGGCTATGTCCTACAGGTCCTTAGCTTTTGAGCCATTTCCCTTTTCTTCTGAAGAGCAACAGCGGTTACATGCCCTGTGTCTGGTGCGAGCTTTACGCACGTACATTGAACGGACACGGGATATACGGTTATGTGACCAGCTTTTTGTCTGTTTTGCTAATCCAGCTCACGGCAGGGCGCTGTCAAAGCAGCACCTCTCCCACTGGATTGTGGAGGCTATGTCCCTGGCATATAGGGTCAAGGGTTACCAAGTGGTGTACGCGTCCACTCCACCAGGCAGCTGACAGCGTCTTGGGCATTGGCTATAGGATGGTTGACTATAGGAGATATTTGTGCTGCAGCGAGTTGGGCATCACCACACACTTGTGAGGTGTTATCGCTTGGATGTCACTGCTCCCAGTGTAGCCCACAGTATGCTTAATGCTGGGACAGGGGAAAGTCACTAGGGCGCGCCGGGTGCGCAACACCCAGACTGCCGCATTTGACGGGTCAGGTCTTGGTGGTCTGCCATGAGCAGTTTCATTTAGTATCCATTGGCGCTGGCTTTGGGCGTGATTATATTTCCCCATAATATGTTATATCGAAGTTGACTGCCTAAAGGGGAATGTAATGTTATGACTGTAACTACTGTTCCCTGAAGGAGGGAAACGAGGTACAACAACTGTTTGGCCCCGCGCTGCCCGTTCCTGGGCTCGGTAAAGAGCGGTATTAAATCGAAGGAATTAATCCGAGACTCACACTTATCACCTGTGGAAGGCAGGGCTTCCAGCGCGGCACGGATTTCATTGGCCATGTCAGGTGTGATTTGTAGATACTTCAACTGAAGTCACAGGAGTGCACCTCCCCATAGTATGTTGTACTTCATTTCCCTCTTTCAGGGAACAGTAGTTAGTCATAACGTTACGTTACAGCATACATGGATATGAGGACTTAATGCAAAAGATGCTTGGTAATAGTTTTATAAACTAATAATTAACTGTTTATAAACTACTTTCAAACTCATTTTAGAAATAATTTTATTCTGCAATGCGGTGACCATATTGTATGTCTTCCTCTCTGCCCACAGGTAAAGTGCTGCCCGGTGTGGATGCCCTCAGCAGCGCCTAAGCCTCATCCCCATCACCTAGGAGAGGTGGGAGTGAAGACAAAGTTTGGACACCCACCCAGCCCCCAAGGCAAAGTGCTCCCTAAGTCTCCCACCCTGTGCTTGTCTAGTACCACCTCTGCTCTCTATTCTACTACTGTACAGACGGCTGACACAAACTGCAATGATCTCTCTCTCGCACCTACACGTGCCCAACATCTACATCACTAAGGAAGTGGAGGTGTTCTTAACAGAAACCACCCTCACTCCCTCATATGCACTTATGTTCCTTCCTGCTGTGTTTCTCAGAGATGAGGGCCAGAGACCAGTCAACTGCAGCTACAATCGTTTTCAGCATACAGGAATTTGGGAATTTGTCATCTGCATCACCTGTGTAAAAGAGCGCTTGCGTGTGTACGTTTTGCATCACTCTTGTATAGCCAGCCAGCCCAGGGAGAATTACAACCCTTCAAGCGTAAAAACGTGTTGTAACTCTATCTAGACCTTTATATTTGTCCTCCACCTCCACACAAATGTTGGCTCTGTATCACAGTTGCCCCCATTGTCTCAACTATGTTCTCCCCCCTGTTATGTCATACATCCTATGACCCTGTGGCTTGTAAGATGTTCGTTCCCCAGTGGTGGTTTCAGAGGGGTCATGTGACCTGAGCAGATGCTCACATAATAAAACAGTTGGTGTAAAATATAAAATGTTTGACTATTTATTTGTACTTGTGTCATTCATTGTTAATTTCGTCAACAAAAATAGTGACCATAATATTCGTCAAACACCTATTTTTCAGTGGCAATTGACGAGGCTATAACTGACTAAAATTAACCAGGAAAAAAACTAAAGGAAAATTATTTTTTATCTCTGACTATATATGACTACTAAGGGGACTGGACAATAGTTTGAGAGATTTTCAGTAACGGGCACAATTAATATTAGCAGCACAGATGCGCAGTTCTGTTCAGCAGTGGGAAGGATGCGGCACACAGCCTACATCAGCTGGGGAGCAAGTGATGAATGTGGGCAGACGGGCTCCGCTCTGGCTCCGCCTCCGATTATACACATTGTGCAAGCGGCTCTTGCTTCCCCATAGCTAACCGGTCACCACCAGCCTTCTAGTTAGCTACCCTTTGCCTGGTTAAGAAACACAAGCGGCTTTACGAAATTTGAAAACAATAGCAGCATTGAGTTTATAGTAAAACAGTCATCTAGCTATATTTATAGTTAAACAGTCGTCTAGCTATGTTTTTCTCTCCCTTGAGTATAGAAAAGTAGTCTCTTTGAATTTGTAGTCTCGCTCAACCCTCCCACTTTCCCCAATGCATTTCATACCCAGGTTCTGTAGCCAAGTCTCCCTCTTTTTTTCCTCTGAGAAAACGGCTTGAGAGATTACTGTTCAAAAGATATTACCCATAATACAGGCGCTATGTTTTTTTCTTTCTATCGTGCATTGGCGGGCCGCATTGTACATTCATAAAGCATATCGCAGGCTGTTCTAAAACTAGGCTACTTGCAGACCGGACCGTTAACCATTTGTTTAGCCTACACCTTGCTCAGTCATGTTACCTCATTAGCATTAGCTGGGTATAGCTAACAATCTGGGGACACGTTCAGCAGGACACAACATTTTGGAACGTTCAGATAGAAATATGCTATGTAGAACAAACATGCCTCTGGCAAGTTGAATAAGGAATAATGTCTGCTCTATTCATGCAATTTCTATCTGCAACGTTCAAGAATGTTTTGCAACTGAACGTCGCCCTGCTAACATTAACAGTAGCCTATATGCAAACATTTGGTGGGACAGAAAGAAAGGCAAAGGGATAGCAAAACATTTATTGACTAAATTCCTCTTGCCACTACACTACAGTGCATTTGGAAAGTATTCAGACCCATTTACTTTTTCCACATTTTGTTACGTTACAGCCTTTTTCCTCATCAATCCACACACAATACCCCATAATGACCAAGTGAAAAGAGGTTTTTAGACATTTTTTGCAAATTTATTAAAAATAAAAAAACATACCTTACTTACGTAAGTACTCAGACCCTTTGCTATGAGACTCGAAATTGAGGTCAGGTGCATCCTGTTTCCATTGATCATCCTTGAGATGTTTCTACAACTTGATTGGAGTCCACCTGTGGTAAATTCAATTGATAGGACATGATTTGGAAAGGCACACAGCTGTCTATATAAGGTCCCACAGTTGACAGTGCATGTCAGAGCAAAATCCAAGCCATGAGGTCGAAGGAATTGTCCGTAGAGCTCAGAGACAGGATTGTGTCGAGACACAGGTCTGGGGAAGGGTACCAAAAATGTCTGCAGCGTTGAAAGACCCCAAGAATACAGTGTCATCCTTCATTCATAAATGTAAGAAGTTTGGAACCACCAAGACTCTTCCTAGAGCTGGCCGCCCAGCCAAACTGAGCAATCGGGGGAGAAAGGCCTTGGTCAGGGAGGTGACCAAGAACCTGATGGTCACGCTGACAGAGCTCCAGAGTTCCTTTGTGGAGATGGGAGAACCTTCCAGAAGGACAACCATCTCTGCAGCACTCCACCAATCAGGCCTTTATGGTAGAATGGCCAGACAGAAGCCACTCCTCAGTAAAATCCACATAACGGCCCGCTTGGAGTTTGTCAAAAGGCACCTAAAGGACTCTCAGGAATGATGAAAGATTCTCTGGTCTGATGAAACCAAGATTGAAATCTTTGGCCTGAATGCCAAGCGTCATGTCTGGCAGCATCATGCTGTGGGGATGTTTTTCTGTGGAATAAGTCAAGGGGTATGAATACTTTCCGAATGCACTGTATATCTGACTGGGTAATAAACTCGGACTTCAGCCATATTGATTCTGACTCGAGCACAGGGGACAAGGTTTAGTGACTCAACTACAGCACTGGGCGAAACAGTCATTTGCCCCCTGTTCTATCTTTGGCCATCACTGTGGCTGCAGCGTCTGTGGAACGTTGATAACAATGGCAATGACGAGACCGAGTGACTGAGGTGCAACCCATACTATACTGAACAAAAATGTAAACGCAACATGCAACAATTATTTTACTGTTAGTTCATGTAAGGAAATCAGTCAATTTAAATTAATGAATTAGGCCCTAATCTATGGATTTCACATGACTGGGCAGGGGCGCAGCCATAGGCCCACCCACTTGGGAGCCAGGCCCGAACACTGGGGAGCCAGGCCCAGCCAATCAGAATGAGTTTTTCCCCACAAAAGGGCTTTATTGCAGACAGAAATACTCCTCAGTTTCAGCAGCTGTCTGGGTGGCTGGTCTCAAACAATCCCGCAGGTGAAGAAGCCGGATGTGGAGATCCTGGGCTGGCGTGGTTACATGTGGTCTGCGGTTGTGAGGCCGGTGGGACGTACTGCCAAATTCTCTAAAACGACGTTGGTGGCGGCTTATGGTAGAGAAATTAACATTACATTCTCTGGCAACAGCTCTGGTGGACATTCCTGCAGTCAACATACCAATTTCACGCTCCCTCAACTTGAGACATCTGTGGCATTGTGTTGTGTGACACAACTGCACATTTTTAGTGCCCTTTTTATTGTCCCCAGCACAAGGTGCACCTGTATAATGATTGTGCTGTTTAATCAGCTTCTTGATATGCCGCACCTGTCAGGTGGATGGATTATCTTGGCAAAGGAGAAACACTCACTAGCGAATGTAAACAAATTTCTGCACAAAAGTGGAGAGAAATAAGCTTTTTGTGCGTATGGAACATTTCAGGGATCTTTTATTTCAGCTCATGAAACATGGGACCAACACTTTACATGTTGCGTTTATATTTTTGTTCAGTATACTTTGTCAATACCAACATAAATTTATATAGCCTATATAAAGGAAGAGAAGTTAACCCCAGAGAGATTGATATGCCAGTGGCCTGCTACGACACCGACATGCATTTCTTTATGTCAGATGGCTACTGCATCTGCTATACAGATATAGACGTACAGAAGGAGGGTAATTTGTACATTTTCGATCCACATATTTTGTATAAAGATAAGCCTTATATTGTTTGATTATAGAAGTAACTGTGGTAGGCCTGATACAGTCTTCCTCACCTCAAGTTCAACTGTCGGAGTCAGTTGGAGCGCCGGGGCGCACTGCCTTCATATCATAGACCTGCAGTAGCTAAAGCTTAATAATACCACACCATACCAGACCTTCACAAACGTTTCTAAACTTTATTAGGGTCATATCAAAAGCAGAAGAGCAAATGTAAGCCAGGGAAAAAAACACACTACCCTCCCCTTTGCCCCCCCCCCCCAAAAAAAAAAACAACTCCCCTATTTTGGACCACCCCCTGAAGTAGGGAATGGCGGAGAGATTTGAAGAAAATACAAATATATTATTGTACATGTTAAATGCCACCGGATTTACAGCTCTCTCCAAACTTTGGAACAATTTGGAAGAGGGCACAACTTTCTTCCCAGGCCCAATTGCAGTTCATATTTCCACCACACAGTGGTGCACAGCATACGCCAAACAGCATCCCTCATGTAGGCTACATTTTGGCTATAATGTAGCCTTCAGGAGATCACAGTATTGTGTTCAGCATTGTCCTCAAACACATTTCTCTTTTCTCTCACAGAAAATGTAATAACCGGCCTGGATCTCTTGGAAGTCAGCGATTCAATGTTAGGTGAGTTAGGATATGGTGTAGGCTATACATTTTCAGACATATCCCTTCAAAAAGCATTAAGGTTATTTGATTTCTATTGAACGCACATAAGGAATAGTTGTTGTAAAGATCTGCAATCCTTTAGTGGGCTTGAAGGGGAAACAAAACAATCATATAGCCTACTATTGGGGGTAGGAGAATATTGTTCAATGGGGAATGAAACAGTCTACCTTGGCCTACTTCCATAACACATGATGAGTGAGGTGTGTTATGTCCTTTGTTGAATGATCTAATGAGTCTTGACTCTTGTCAGTGATGTTTTTGCGGTCAATTTGTCTGGGATGGGTGACATTCCTCCATGTTTCTGTCTAATCATGCGTTCTAGCTTCTTCGAGTCATTCCATCTCATTTCAGCAAGCCATGACACCCACCATTTCAGATTGTTCTGAAATCGTTTCTGTAGTTAGAAACATTAG